CACTTGTGAGTGCCACCCAGCAGTTTTGTACCGCAGAGCAGGCCAAGGATCACGAACGACTGCCCCGTCTTCATAACCCGGTCATCCGCAGGTTCCCCAGGTGGTTTTGGACAGTCATGGGTTTTAAATGGTTTTACCAATTTTAAAGGCTTGATGATGCTTGTGGGGTAGTTCGAGTTGTTCTTGTAGGTTGCCCGGGTTTGGGGGATAAGGGCGGTACGGGGATGCGGTCTTACTGGCCATTACTAGTTGCCTAACGAAGCCACGGTACCAACAAAAAGGGACATGGATGCTAGGCAGCAGGTGTACATACTTCTATTTCAAGCTTAAGGTACCCGCTGCATTGGCTACTCGAATCAGGGCTCTCTACAGAAACCCTCGATCCAGAAACCTCCGAAGCCTTAACCCACAGCATTGAAATCTTACCAAGAGCCTATGATCCTTGAAACCGGAAAAGACCTACAGTAAATACTAAATGCTCTGAATCCCTGAAATTCTAAGAAGCCCTGGGCCCTACAATCTCAGCTGCAAGCCCATCTCCACACGTGCTTGTGCTCGCACACATCAAGGTGGCGCCTCGTTTCTCACATAATACGTCTAGTTGTCAAGGCCATGTTCGGCAAAAAGACTGAGCCAAATAACATCACTATGGCCTTACAGAACCTATGCACGCAAGGTTCTTTACGATTGCTTTTGAGGTATTACAAGGGCCCCCAAAATTAGAACAGGGCTTTAGGGGATAATATACCATGTTGCATAAGAAACGCTAACGAATGCGAGTACTAACTATTCAGGCCCCTATAGTGTGTGCGGAGTATATAATGGGCATAGGGAAGTCTTGTGATAATCACAATGATTGAATTTCATTTGCGTAGTTCTGCTCGATTTGGGGGACACCCGGTGGCTTTAGCACTAGCTGTGGGTTGGAGGTGCTTACCTAGCAGGGTTAACGATGGAACGGAGAAGCGTGACAGATTGGTCGGAGAGTACAGCTAAATACAGCCGTGTGCAGCCACATACACACTCCCTAACCCCCAGACCTTAAACCCCAAACCCTAAAGCCTAACCACCCCTATAGTTACCTCAACCGTAAACTCACACCACCAAAACCTGAGGGTCACCCCTCACAGAGTCTGACCACTCTGCCTGTCAAACCCTGCACTGCTGAGCCTAGCTTACTCTAGACCCCCCTTAGAACCATAATAAAAATAATCTGTTTAATATTCACTTGGGTTTTATATGAACAAAAGAAAAAATCCTAAGGAGACTATAGTACTAAGTCCGACCCCAAATCACAGGGTTATTGCCCTAAACCTTTGGGCCTTCAACCCGCAAGAAACCTCGAACCCCCTTTGAACCGGAATCTCACCCTAACTATTGCAGAGACCCAAACAGCGCTGAACGCAGGAATATACCCTCAACTACAGAGGTCTTCATACTATGATTTCGGATTTAAACTCCAAGCTAAGAAGTGCTGGGCCGCTGAGAACCTACCAAGCCCATGAACCACAAACTTTAAACCCAAAACTCCTTATGTTCAGTGCTGAAGCTCTGAGCTTCCTGCACGGAGGTGTGGCTGGTGGTGAGAGGCCCCAGTTGAAGAGGCTGGGAGCAGGAAAGTGTGAGGTTGAATACGGCTTGTTTTTCTTGGCGCTGAACACCTTTCTCTGGGTATAGGTCCAAGGGGTTAAGACATTAGGGGATTAAGTTTTTTTTTTAAGAGTAGGGGTTTAGGTGTTAGGGTTTACGATTAGTTGAAAAATCAGGGTATCTTACGGCCCTGTGGCTTCAGGGCTTAGCGTTTGAAGGGTCTGGAAGTCTTCAGTTTTGGGTTTAGGGTTTGGCGGCTTTGGGGTTTGTGGGTTTAGGGTTTGGCGGCTTTGGGGTTTGTGGGTTTAGGGTTTGGCGGCTTTTGGGTTTAGGGGTTTAGGGTTTAGGGGTTTAGGGTTTAGGGTTTAGGGTTTAGGGTGCTGCGCCGTCTTGACCCAGCTGTACAAGTAGCTTTGTAAGTTTGCAATGTCGCACTACAGACGAACAGATGCAGTATCGTGGCGGTTCCTGCAGGTGCTCATTTTTTGTAGGATGTGTACATGGCTAACATATATATATATATATATATATATATATATTACACACACATACAAACATACAGATACATAAATAGATAAACTATACAAAACTAAACATTTACACAAATGAATATATATCTACATAAGTACATATATAAATATGTATGTGCAGATTGTATATTGTGTATAGACATGCCTTATAAACATATTATGTAGATACGTATATATACATATATACATGCTAATATATATATATATATATATATACATATATATACATATATATATATATATATATATTATAGGTGGCTCTACAACAACTGTTAACAAGCTTCTGCTTTAGCTCCTGTCTTTAATTTCCCAAGCTTCAGAATACTTGTATGCTTCGACAAACATTGAGGGTGCCAGTCGCAAAACTGCCATGATGCTGTCCGTTCCACACCACTGCTGGTTGGCTGGGGCACCCAAGCCGGAAAACCCTAACTCTAACCTGAAACGCAAAACGCCACTGCTGTCTCTTCTCACCACCCTAAGCCCTAAACTCTAAACCCCTAAACACCGAAACCCTTAACTCCAAAACCCTAACCGTAATTCCCGGAAGGGGAACGGCTTCCGTGGCAGGTCTCGTAGAAGTTTTGATGCCCCTTGATCGTCAGCCCCGAGCCGAAACCCCAGAAAACCCGAAGCCTTACACCCTCAACCCTAAACCTTAAACCCCAAAACCCTAATGAAACTCTTGAACCCTAAATCACTACACCCTGCAGCCTGAAAAAAATCCCGAAGCTTCAAAGTAACTCTTCTGAAGCTTCGCTGAGCTCTGGGGCACGAACCCCCGAGCTGCTAGAAATCTCCGTACCTGCCCAGGGTTCAGGTTCTACTTTAGGGGCGGTAATAATTAGAATAGGGTTTTGGGGCCTAGTATACTATAAACATGATAAGGAACCCCCAGGATAGTTTAGGGGCAATGTAGGAACCTGATTAAGAAACCCTGGCCCTTAACCCCCAAACTAGTAGGATTCATATAAGGAGTCCTAATGAAGGACCAGGGTTTCTTAATCAGCTTCCTGTATTAGTGTCTAGTTCCTTCTTGGGATTGCCTTTTAGGATTCTAACTATGAACCCCAAAAAGGAACCCAAAACCTTGTACCTAAACCCTAAACGGGTAGTTTGAAAGGAGTCGAGGCTTCGGTTTCGAGTTTCCGGATTTTAGTGGTAATGAGGTGGGGGTGGTCAGGGTATCATAACCCTAAGGCTCAAAATAGCCCCAAAGCCGTATGTAGTATGGTCTTTGGGCCCAAAAGCCTCAAAATATGAGTCCTTAACCCTAAACCCTATAGATCCTTTATAGGAACCCTTATCTTAATATGAGTCCTTAGAGCCTAAGGGTATGGCACTAGAAGGGTTCTATAGGACAACGGCTCAGGCGTTGCTGTTCTGGGCATGGTATTGCGAAGAGTTTGGGGTTTGATGCGGGCCTTCGGGCTTCCAGGTTCTCTTAGTGGTATATAGGGTTCAGGGATCAGGGTTTAGGGTTGAGGGTTTTAGGGATTAGGGGTTTAGGGTTCAGGGTTTAGGGGTTCAGGGGTTCAGGGGCTTCCGGATTCAGGATTCGGGCTGGGAAGGTTGCGGCTTTAGGGTTGCAGCACCCGAAACCGAAAGCTCCACTAGATTCTAGGGTTTGGGCAGCGGGGCTCGTAGGGTTTGGCCTTCCCTGGCTGCTCCAGTCGTATCGCTGTCCTACTCTTCAGAGATGAGAGAAACATCCAGGAACTTATAAGTCAGCTTCCCGAAGTATGACAGCAAAAGACTCGAAGTGTGGGCGAGCCAGCAAGAATTCTAACTCTAACCCTAAGGCTCAAAATACCCCAAAAGCCTTATATAGTATGGTCTCTGGGCCCAACAGCCTCCAAATATCAGTCCTCAACCCTAAACCCTATATAGATCCTTTATAGGAACCCGTAAAGGAACCCTTATCTTAATATGCGTCCTTAGAGCCTAAGGGTAAGACTTGCCATTCTTTGCCACGCAAACGCTGATAGTACTGTTGATGGGCAAAATAAGGAATATACCATAGTTCCCATAGTTTAGAGTCCTCAGGGTCATGCAGGATCCATCAACAGTAGTAAGAAGTACGGTGGCACCGAAACTGCCATGATAAGCTCATCTGCCGCCAGCCACGCTTGAAGAGGTGCCCCCGCTGATCTTCGCCAGCGCCTTGCCCGCCTTCGCTGTCCATGGAGTTGGCCTGTCCCCTAGGCACCCAGAGACTCCAATATCCCTTATTTATGAGGAATATACTTTTCTCTACAGTAGGATCCTCCTTAATGCCCTTATAGAACCCTGAAAGATCCCTTCAAGGAACCCTTTTAAGGAACCCTTTGGCATATTCCTTAATTAAGGGATTCTGGAGCCTCTGGGCAACTGCTACAACCGCTGCAGTGTCGATCATCGTCAGCAGCTGCCGTCCGATGGGCTGCCTTTCCTACTAGAGCCCGAAAAGGGTTTAGGGTTTAGGATAAAGATATCCCATACAATCGCCCTTTATAATAAAGCCAATAACGTCGGGACTATCCCTGTAAAATGCTTATGCTTATGTGCTTTTGGGGCCCCTAACCTACTCGCACATGCGCCTGCACCTGGCCTTACGGCGCGATCCCCCTGCGGCCCAGCCCCACGCTACATGGCTCGCCGCTTCAAAGTCCATCCCTAAGCTTCCGGGGACCTTGTTAGGGGCTTGAGGTTTCGGTTTTCGGAGTTGAGGTTTCGGTTTTCAGAGTTTAGGGTTTCGGGTTTCAGAGTTTTTTTTTTTTTTTAAGCGCCTCTTTTCCGTGTCGCAGAGATGCGTCCCAGAAATCCCTTGGGGGAAGGCTAGCTGGGCCACTTTACGGGTCCCAGTAAGCACACATCCCACAGGCAAGCGAACTCCCTTCTTCAGACGTCACCCTTCGAAGTCGTGTCAGCATTCATACGATCGAAGCTTCGTTTCATCCCTTTGTACTTGTCATCCTGTTCGCCGATCCCCATATCATCATCCTCCATATCTGCACGTTGGCCCAAGAAGAGGACATAGAGCTCCTCTCCCACTTGTTCCAGCAGTTGTGCATCCGAGACTCGACCCTGAATCCACGCAGCATACAAGTCATCCAACGGCCTGTTGTCGTGAGGGACCGCAGAGGTAGAGGCTGGCAGAGATAGCGAACTGCCCTGCGGAGCCGCGTGCTCCCCAGAGTCCATGGGAGGTGGGGCCATTTCGATCTCCTGCATCTGTACCGAAAAATGGACATCCCTTCCTCGGGCCAGTGGGAGGCTACATGCAGCCTGAGTAGTCTGCGACCCATGCGTAACCTGGAGGGCGATGCGGAGGCGCCTGGGGAGATCCGAGCGAGCCGTCTGGAGCTCCCAATCCTCCCAATCTCGGTACCGCGCCGCCTGGTAGGCAGAGAAGGCCTCCGCATCCTGGGCAGCTTGTTTGGCCTCATCGCAGGCTTTCCAAGCCTCCCACCCTTCATGGCGTTCCTGCTGCAACCTCCTGTCAGCATCTGCCTCCAGTTCATCGTCTAGGAGCTGTTGCATCTCCGGATCAGCATTGTTCCCTGGTTCCAGTCCAGCGTGCCGATCACGCCCTTCCGTGTCAATGCTTTGGCCTGAGCATGGGGTGCGGCGCCGGTGCAGGCCCAAAGCATGGTTCTCCTCGTCCGTGGTTGTTCCATTCCAATGCGATGCCCTGTCATCACCGTTCGAAGCCTCATCCGGGTTGTCATCTCGGCCTGCAGCGGACGGCAACTGCATCCACATAGTCTCGTCTTCTTCCTCCACGGTGACTTCGACATCTGCTGCCAACCGTGGGTGGTGGAAGACTAGTTGGCAGCATTCTACCCATAACATGGCAGTCACCCGGAGAAGGCCCACCACGATCATAAGCAGGTCGGATGCCGGGATGTCGTTGATCTCGGCAATGCGGTCCTGGTGGCCATCCGGGTGGAGGACCCTGTGCACTGTCGGATCCGTGGGGGATCGTAGTCCCAACACGCGTAACCACCAGAGCGTGGCATCCTGCGCATCCATTGGCCTGTCTCGGCTGACCAAATGTCGGTGACTTCTCCGCGCCAGAGGATTGAGGTGCCGAACCTCCTCCGTACAACGGGTAGTGCTCCGGCGGGGGATCCGTGGCCTGGAGTCATCGTCCGCCTCAGAGGTCCGGCTGTGGCGTGCGCTTCTCTCCCGATCCCTTGCTCCAGTCGACCCCGTCGCCGAGGGTCTGGGCGTGGCAGCAGGACGCGCCCCTCTGTCCCCATCACCTGAGCTCCCGGGTGAGGCATCAGATGGCCTTGGTGTTGATGCTGCTCTGCGTGGCCTCGGTCTGGAGGAGCCCGTGGTGTCCATAAGGCTGGAGGCATCATGGTCTCGTCCCTCCGTCCTCCGCGGCGATCGCGACCTGGTTCTCGAGGGAGGTGAGAGAGGCGAGGTCACCGAGGTCGCCCAATCTCTCCAGACTCCCATATCAGCCTGTGAGATGACCCGGTTGGTCCGCAGGCTCATCACCCCGTCACTTTCCCAACCAGCTGTGGCTTCCATGAGGTCAATAAATTCTTCCCAAAGTTCCTCTTCAATCCATTGTAGAACATCCCTGTGGTGCGGTTCGACTTCATTTTCGCGCGCACAGTCAGCCTCCACCGGAAGGTCCAGGGCCAGGAGGTAATCCTGGAGCATGATATCATAGTCGTGACTGTGTCTGTCCTCTGCCATCATCTGCAGAACTGTAGCCAAAAGCCCCGACTCTGCACCTTGGCCAACCAAATATTGCACCACCCTCCGGCCGAGCGGGAAGAAGGAGTCGGTCTGGGGTACTGTGGGTCTCCCCGGCATCCCTGGCACCGCAGGAACGAGGGTCCACCACCACTGTGAGAGGCCATTCTCGTCGCCTTCCGCGTCCTTGGTGATGGGTTCATCCTCCAAGGGGTCTCTGGCTGCCATGGCATCTGGCAGATATGCCTCAACCGGTAAGGCACCCCATTCTCGCATGAGCGTGGCTGCCACAACAGGTCCATGCACTCTGCTGATCTCTGCCACTGATAAGCAGCCTGTCCTCCAGCTCGCCCACAAGGCGTTGTAGTCAGACATTGACAGTCCCCAGAGGTGCAATCCATGTGGGGCCTGGTCGGGCAGCGCAAGCAGAGCACTCGGTGGCGTTGGAGAGGTTTGAGGTGTCAAAGAGACCTCAGCAACAGTGGCCGTCATATGTAGCTCCGCGGTGCCCGTCTCATTGAGAGGGAGTTCCAGTCTCGTAGTTGTCCTCGGTCGGTCCGCAGAGCCAGAACTAAGCTCCACCTGCAGCACTTTGCGCTTTGTCCTGGGCGGGCCTTCCTCCACATCCGAGTCAATCGGCTGTACTGACTCTGGCGTATCCGTTGGTAGTGCTCTAGAGAAGAGCATAACCGTGGGGAGCTCCATGGACAACTCCCTACCCAGATCCTCCGCTGAACCATCCTGGCAGGGTATGTGTACACACACAGCTTTCCAAATTTCCAGGGTCCAGTCGAACCAACGGGTTCCACGGTTGAGGGCAGAGCCCTCCCTTTCATCATCTCTCATGGCCACCAGCACCGCCGTAAGCTGCTGGGTATAACCACCCATGTGCCCCAGCAGGTAGCCACTTTCCACATCCGTGGCATGATGGTCGAGCCACCTCAGTAGCTGCCCCGCTGCCACTCCTCTCACATGCTTGGGCATGGCATCCAGGTCTCCATGGATCCGAAGGAGGAGTGTTGCCCACGGCTCCTGTTCACCAGCTTGGTGGTTCATAGCTTCCTTCTGCATCCACGAAGCTTCATCGTCTGTTTCCTGGGGTAGTTCGCGTGCAGCGCGGCCTTTGCCTTGCGGGAAAGGCATGATGGAAGGTGAGGCCGGCTGTGCCTGGGTTTCCTTTGGCATTGTGCGCAAAGTGCGCTTGGCTTCCTTCGTCATCGGCGGTTGGGAGCTCCCTAGGGGAGGAACCGCAGTTACCATCCACCACGACAACACCCACACAGTCCAGAAAATGGAAAGCGTGGAGACGCCCGTCATGGCGAAGAAACACGGATGTGCTCGCAAGAGGCAAGTTTTGGCCAAGGAGCTGCAAGAACATCAGGTCTGTGATGCGCATCCCTTCATCCCTCTTGCAATCCCTAACCCTCACGCCCTGATGCAAGACTGTCTGTTGCCTGTCCACGGTAAATCCATCATTGTCAACCAGGTCTGTTTGCACTGCTGCCATTGTGCCCTATCCCTTGCAACCCTTCGCCATGGCTGCCCTGTGGCTGCTGTGTCCATGTCCTTCTCCATGTTTGACAGCTTGGGGAAATGTCGTGGATGTTGGACCCTGTGATCAACTGGTTTGCTTTGCTCTGCTGTCCACCATTCCCTATCCCTGTAGGCATCCACAATAGAAGCGGCACCCGGAACATCTCTATCTAGACCCCTCGCCCTGTGGCCTGCAAAGCACCACCAGCGGTCCAACCAGCACGTAGACCAGCGCCTTTGCAAGTGTGTCCAGACAACTTGTCTTGCTCCACGGTACGACCGTTTCCGGAAGGACAACCAGGATTCGTCAGGTCTCTTAGCAAGTCGCATGCTCCAGATGACAAGTTGCAATTGAAGGGTATTGAGGAGTGCCATGGAGCTATTGTCAGGTGCCAGCGAGGCCAAACACCAAAGAACCAAGCCCCCAACCACACGGTCCAACAAGCAAATTCGTCCCTTAAGTGGCGTGTGTGCTCGGAGGAGGTGTTTGAGGCTCCAGAATTTGTCTTTGGCACGTTGGAGGAAGGGCGCGATCAATTCCGAACTAGTAGCCCCCACTCGGAAGGGGACACCCATCACCTCAAAGGACTTAACCTCGGGCACCTCAAGCTCCCTGACCCGAACTCCCCTCGGTCCGCGCAGGTACGGAGAGAAATAGACTTTGCATTTAGCAGGGTTCAATTGCAGCCCTGCCAGTGCCAGTTCTGTTGCCCACTCCTCCAATTTCTGAGATAGACCCTTTGCTGTTTTGTCCCAGAGGCATCCATCGTCCATAAATAGAAGTTCCTGGACCCTCAATCCCTCAAAGACAGGCTCCCGGGCGTCCCAACGATATCGGCGTCGAGTGTCCTCCAAGATCTCCTCTGCCAGCCAGCTGAAGATAGCAGGTGATTCGATCGAGCCCTGCTTTATCCCTCGATCAAGCTGCAGCCTGGTCTGACCCCACTCTGTCTGGAGTATTGCGCTTGTTTCTGACAACAATGTATGCCAACATCTGTATGTTGGTCCATCGCCTAGTGCTTGCTGGAGGCGCTGCAACATAGCCGGTCTATGGACGAGATCATAAGCCTTATGGAGGTCAATCTTAGCCATTGCGAAACCGGAATGCCACTCCGCTTCAAGTTGCATGATCCTGCCTATGCCAAAGAGGTATTCGTTGGTCTGGCGTCCTGGCCCCGAGCATTGGGACCAGCCCCTGGGTCGTAGCGCTGAGGAAGTGCGTAACATCAGAAGTCGACTGAAGCATTTCGCCACCCCAGAGCCTAGCGACAAAGGGCGTAGGTTCTTTGGTTCCGTGGGGAGAGCCTCTTTCGGGATGACCAGCATGAGAGCTACACCCCAGTCCTCTGGAATGTCCGCCGTTCTGTAAACTTGGTTGAAGAATTGCAGCAAGGCCTCCAGGCCGCCAGGTACCTGTGCCAGCCCAGAAAGGAAGTCCTGACTGGTACCATCAGTGCCGACTGCTTTCCCCGGTTTCCCTTGTGTAAGCACAAATCTAAGCTCCTCTGTCGTAAAATCAGCAACTGGACCCTCCCATGGCGGTAGCGGTGGTACCACCACGCCTGTCGTGTAGATTGTCTCTAAGTGTTCATGGATGGCCGTGTGCGGATCTTGCTCTTGCTGTGCTTCCGCAAAGTGGGTATCCCAACCATAGTGTCGTTCCGGCTTTAATTCTCTGAAAGCTTGCCAGTCCCCTGAAGTAGCCCTTTGCATTCTGTCCATTTCCCACTTACGCCTGTCTCGCTTCCTGAACTTCCTTGCTAGTGTCCAATCCTCTGCCCGCTTAGTGGTCCTTGCTCTGCGGAAAGCCTCCTTGGTGTCGACTGCGTCACGGTAGGCGGAACCTGGTTTGGGCTTAGTGTGGCGGGCAGCTAGTTCCACAAGACCAGCCTGGGTGAGAGGGAAGTCAACCTTGTCAAGACCCCCAGACCAAACTCTCGGGCATGTGATAAAAGGCCGCCCTACTCTGGACCCAGGGATCTTCGCCTGGAACTGAAGCAGCTCATGGTCTGTCCCCAAAGCCTCGTGAGAGCCCTCATGGACATAGAGGGGCGAAGTCCCGCATCTGGCTGTTGAAATGAGGTCAATCTGCTTTCCTTGTTTACCTGCCTGCCGGGGCCTGCTTGTGGGTACCTCAAGTTGAGCGTGTGTCGGGGCAGCCAAGCGAAGTCCTCGAGCCGTGCAGCTGGACAGGAATTCCTGGGTTTTGCCATTACTAGCCGAGGGTCCAGGTTCAAGTCCATCCTGAGTCCTCCACGTCAATGGCGAGTTGAGATCACAGCCTAGTAGCACAGGGAGGTGTGTGGGGGGGAGCCCTCGAAAGTGGTCCTCAACTTGCTCGGCATGCACCAGCTGTGTGACCCCTGGGGCGAAATGAGCAGAACCAACCCAGACCTCAACCCCTTGCACATGGCGCAAGCGGAACCATGTACCTCTCTCTGTCTTTTTCCTGCGCATCACGCGCCATCTTGTCGTGTTGTAGACCAGCCCTGTCCCACGCCACACATCTGTATGTCTGTGTAGCACAGTCCGCCATGCATCAAAGTGAGCCTGCTGCCATCCCGCCTCACCACGGGCGGCCTCTTGCACGCAAATTATCGCATCCCGAGAAATCCCTTTCACGACGTCCGAGACTGTCTGGGCATAGTGTGTTTCCAACGCCCCTCCAGTATTCCAGCTATATAGCGAAAAGGTAAAACTCGAATTAAGCTGGCTCTGCTCTTCGGCAAGCCAGTCCTCCTGAGGATCTCGTCACCTGCTGGTGGCCCGCAGGCCCCGCCCTAGCTCTTCCACTGTCAGCCCAAGTTCACGGGCGAGCCCTCCGACGTGGATCCAATGTGACTCCGACTTGTCGTCATCCCAGAGGAGCTCCTGCGAAGCAATTCCTGGAGGGTGAGGAGTCTTGGCGCTCGCCACAAAGCTGTTCCCAAGCCAGACACTGCCCGTAGTGTATTCGATGTCAAGCCCTCTCGCCGTATCAAGCCCACACACCTCGACGACTGCCCTTTTAACCCAGGCAGCGTGGCCACTGATGATCCGCTCCTCCTTGCTCTTCGCGAAAGTCGCAAAGAGTTGTTTTCCTCCCGACAACTTGATCTCGTTATCGGCCAAGGACCGGATGACCGTGTGCATCCGGCGTTTGACTTCATATTCGGATTCACATCCTCGGGGGGCGAAGACACTGAGAGCTGTGCTGCGCCTGGGTCCTGTAGTGAAGGGTGCATAATCGATGGACTCCCAGACGCCTAGCTTGTCCAAGCTCTTTTGCAGTTGTTGCAAGATATCGTCTCGTCGGGAGTCTCTCGGCCAGCCACCATAGACGAGTGTGAAGCGTCGATCCGGTTCCTTCCCCGACGTAGTGGTGCCCTTCTGCTGGATCTGCTTCGTAAGTTCATCCAAGCGACTCTCCACCGACTCGAACTTGTCCTCCAAACGACCAATACGCCCTTCCGAACTTGCCAGCCGTTTCCCTGTCAATTCCTCAAGGGCCCCCATTCTGGCCTCCAAGTGTTCGTGCTGCGCCTTCATGATCTTTTGGCCTGTCTGTTCCAACAAGGCCGCCAATTGGCTCATATCCACTTGAACCACTTCCTTGGAAGGAGCGCTCTTTTTGGGGGAGCGGCCATCCACCCTTTCCTGGGCCTCCCGCTTGAGAGGAGAGGAGCTTTCATCCGCCGGCACCGGTATCTCTGATGCCTGCGCGAAGTCCATGAACGGCTCAGGCCCCCCTTTCTTGGGACGCCCTTTCATTTCCCCCCCTTCCGCACTCGGTCAAGAAGCTCAGAATCGCACCGTCGAGGGAGACAGGGGCCTTCTGCTCTCGCACACCTCCCGGAAGCCCTGCTGAATCGACAAACCCTCGGAGAAGAGCCGAACCCAATGCCCTGGCGTCTACCCACACTGGCCGCCTCCCCCCAGTCCGACTATCACGGGGCACACGGACCAGGGAGCCTTGAGCCAAAATGGCTTGAGCCAAAGAGTTTAGGGTTTCGGGTTTTAGAGTTTAGGGTTTCGGGTTTTAGGGTTTAGGGTTTAGGGTTTCGGGTTTTAGGGTTTAAAGTTTCGTGTTTTAGGGTTTCGGGTTTTAGGGTTTAGGCTAGGGTTTTGGGGTTTAGGGTTTAGGGTATCAGGGTTTCAGGGTTTAGGGCTTTAGGGTCCTCAAGGGCTCTAGGGTTTTGGATTTTGGGGTGTAGGGCACTAGGGCAGCATCCAATCCAGAACGCTGCCCCAGGTGTTTGGAAATCCGCAAAGCCCAAACAAAACCCCTCAACTCTCCCACCCCAGAATTCTCAACCCTGAACCGCAAACCCGAAAACCCTGTCTGACTAAGTCCCATGACCCTCCAAGAAGCCCAAACCTTCGTTTAGGGTGGTTTAGGGTTTAGGGTTTAGCACCGATCTCAAATAGTTAGGACAAGAACACCTAGCTGTGCAAGACCTGTCTGTAACTGTAACCTATTCCCTCTAGTCTTGAAGCAAAAACCATCTCCAGTCTTACCACACTGGTTGGGGAAAAAGCCGCAAACCGCACACCGCTGCCTTCATTGACTGTCTCCTTGGCTTTCATGAGCGCCGGGCCGATGTCAATGACCATCGACCTATCGACTGTCAGGTCTAGGCTATTTAAATTTCAAAAGATTTCCAGAGGTTTGACAACGGTTGTACAAGGTGTATGGGAGTTTGTCGGGTGTTCCGAAGGCTCCTATGGTATCGATACGGTTCAGGGTCTGTGGTTTCAGCGCGACGGGCTTGTGGTTAAGGGTCCATAGGATTTCGGGTTTAAGGCTTGGGAATCGGGGGTAGGGTCGGGTTCCGGCTTGCATGGTGAACAAAGGCTCTATTGAGGGCTTTGAGGGTCTAAGTTCGAGGGTTTGGGGTGCATAATATGAGGGATCGACTGGGGCTTCTTCTGTGTGAAACCTAAACCCTAAACCTTAAACCCTAAACCCTAAACCTTAAACCCTAAACCCTAAACCTTAAACCCTAAACCCTAAACCTTAAACCCTAAACCCTAAACCTTAAACCCTAAACTGTAAACAGCTAGGGTCCCGCGGTGTAACCCCGGTCTGATACACCTTCGACCACATGGTTCAAGATCCCGGCCGAAAGAACCTTCAGCTCTTCACCTACATATCCTAAACTCCATAATCCCTGATCCCCTTAACCCTTAGAACCCTAAGCCCTGTGATTACCATTATCATCACCACTGCTAGGAGGATAGCACACGGCGGATTAGCCCTACTGTAGGGCTCCAGTTAGCTGAAGAATGGATTGCTGCGCTGCAGAAGACACGGGTCCCTAACATTACTATGGTTACTGAATTAGATCCTGCACTGCCCATAATAAGGACTATACCATAATTCCCATCGTTTGGGATCCTTCAGGTAAGGCAGGATTTATATCATCAACCGTATGAAGGTAATGGAGCCCTATAGGGCATACTCTCCTTCATTACGGGGTCCCGGCCATACAATGTATCCAAGAGGGACTATATATGCTACCGAAATAGTTGAATTAGACCCCCAAAACCATACCACCAAGGAAGGCCTTTTGAGGCCTACTTCTATAATGGTAGCATACATGGAACCTCTGTGTGTTCTACAAGCAGGTACTACATTAAAGCACATAACCCTAAACCCTAAACCCGGTTTAGGGTTCAGGGGTTTAGGGTTTCGGGTATATTACGGCGCAAGTGTTCTGAGCTGCGCCCCGCACCCCGGCTCAGCCGAAACTGCCGCGGTGGCCTTAGCCATCTTCGGCTTTAGGGCTTCCGGGTTTATATAGGATTTGGGGTTTAGGATTTGGGGTTTAGTGCTTAGGATTTGGGGTGTAGGATTAGGAGTTTAGGGTTTAGGATTTGGGGTTTCGGAAAACATGAGGTTGTATAAGTTACTACAAAGGATCTATACGGGCTTACGGCGGCTCGTAAGGATCAAGTGACTCAATGAGTGACTTAGTAGCTAGGGTTTACATTATATATATGTATATATATATATATATATATAGTATGTACATACATATGAAAAGAGAGAGAGAGAGAGAGAGAGAGAGAGAGAGAGAGAGAGAGAGAGAGAGAGAGAGAGAGAGAGAGAGAGAGAGAGAGAGAGAGAGAGAGAGTGAGAGAGAGTGAGAGGAGACATGAAGTAACAAGGTTCATGCTTGCCTATAGCCCCGACTGGGGTACTTATAATTGACTAAGTGCCATGATCCTCCAAGAACAAGAAGGCTCACAATGAAGATTACCACATGGAACACTGAAAGGGCCATCAATATAACAGGCATGATTTGCATTCAACGCACGCTTGACTTGAGGAGCTACCCAGAGTCTTCATTTGCGGTTGGAACTAGTAGTGCACATGAAAGCTCGATGTTGGGCATCGCGGCTAGGGTGAACAACTCCGGACCTAGGTTTTCGGATTATACTGCCATGTTACAATGTTACGTGCATGTCCTAAATCGGAGATTTCTTCAAGCCTGTCAGCCATGATCGGACAACTGCTTGCCCCTTGCGCACGTAGGCCATGGAATGATAGCTAATAGATAACGTTAGCTGCGACGGATCGCTGTGAGGTTGGGAGGCGGTGGCAAGGCTCAACGACGCCGGGGTGTTGGCGAATGAGCAAGGCCATGCTTCTCAACGGTGGTCGATATTGCAGACATGAACATCGCAAATGGGGCAGTTCAGGCTGTTCGAGTGAGGCTAGATGCTGCAAGGACTTGGACATGCAGTCCGTGCAGTTTCGACATGATAGAATGACCCGAATCCTCGTACCATCATCCTTCACCGTGATTTGCGAAAGGACATTGTCCAAAGGGGCCAGGGAAGGTGGTGATGCGTCGTGATGGATAGTTGATATGTTGCACCGAGGCTTTTGCATAACTTTCGTTTGACGCATGCTTAATTTTCAAAGTCTTACAAACTTACTTGCTTGAGACGCAAATGATTAAGCTGTTTGCAGCTAGCGAATTCCAAGATCGCCGCAGCTACGTCTGCCTTTTGAGCGACAAAAACACGCTGGGAGCCTGCGACCAAAGTAACACAACCGTATCCGTCGCCAGCATCACTCACTAACCACTAACCCTGCGAGTGGCCTTGGCCTTCTCCATCGCCATCACAATCCCCCATCCTCCTCCTCATGCTCATCCTCACCCTCATCATCATGATCACCATGATCATCATGATCACGGCCATCATCATCATCATCATCATCATCAATCTCATCTCATCGTCATCCTCACCTCACCACATCGCCATAACCAGCATCATCATCGTCATCATCATCAGCAGCATCATCATATCCAAACCGTTCCAAACATCACAACACGGCCGCACGATCATCCTTGTCCGTATGAGCTTCATCATGCATGCCCCTCGCTGCTCACCACAGTCTTATTCAATATGCACAGACAAGTTGAGAACAATGTTGAACTAGCTGATAAGTCATAGCCCTGAAACCCTAAAGCTCCACAGCTCGGAGCATCTTCAGCACCAACTCCTGCACCTGCAGCTGTAAATCTTAAGCCGCGCAACCCTAGAGCTCCACCGGAAACACCAAACCCCTAAAGCACAGAAATGACAAGCAGGTCACGACTTTCGATCTAGGGAAGGCACAGCCGCATTGTGCATATGCGGGGCTGCCCCCGGGCCCCCCTGATGGTTAGGCCAGAGCTTTGGGCACAGGAGTGGAAGGAGTTGAGGAGTTCGGAAAAGGCTTCGGACTGAGGTGGAGAATGAACCGGGCCGAGTGATTTAAAGGGATAGTGGTTCAGGCCCGAAAGTTCGGGGTTTAGAGTTTCGCATTCAATCAGGCGGCGGGCTTCTCGAAGCCTCATGCACTGCTCTTGGGCTGAAATATGTCGATTCTGTGGTTCCTCTTTGTGTAAGGTTCCGGTTTCGGTTCGAAGACTGAAGATACTACAGTTTTCAATGAGGATCCTAAGCCCTAAACTCAAAGCTCTAAACCAAACCATAACCCTAAACCAAACCCGAAACCCTAAACCCAGCATCCTTGGTTGGTATGCTCCGTCACAGGTACTGAGCACACGTAGGATCCACGGGATCACCACCACTGGCAGCAAGAACACGCAAACACAAGCTGAAAGATACATCATCTACATCTTTGGCACTACCTGTAGGTTCATACTCTACCCCTTTTTTCAGGTATCCACTTCTCTATATAAGAGATCCTAACTATAAAACTGTAGGTACCAAAAAAAGGGGTAGGGTATGACCCTCTAGGTACAGAAACCGCCACTGTCTCCAAACCCTAGCCAATACGTCAGACACAGGTCCGACAGCGAAAAAAGGAAGGAGCGTAAATCTTAAACAATTCCTAGTTGCCGAGTTCATTAGCCCAAAAAGGTTTAAACTTTCAGTCTTAAGAGGGTTTCATTACCCCAAAAAGTTTGAAGTTTATAAACTCAGCTACTAAGATAATTTAGGGTTTAGGGAAACCACTATCAAAAGCCCCCAGAGAAACCCTAACTCATCCGAAAGTCCTGCTGACGACAGCCTGGGCAGTCTCGTCTAGCGCCGTGGCGACCAACTCGAACTGAGCCAGAGGCTGGTTTTGGGTAGCATGATGAGGGAGACCCTTCCGAACCCTACTTCTGGCTCTCTTAAAAGGGACCTTATGGAGAGGGTCTATATGCCCGAGGGTACCCTAATCCTGACTCCCATGGTTGCTTCCGAAAGCCGTAATGTGCGATGGCTTCTAGCTGTTCTCTTGGCAGGGTTGTATATGGGAGTTTCCGAAAATTAGGGGTGCCCTCATTTTGGGGGCCCTTAAAATAGGTTCCCCTAATTTCGGAAACTTTCATATTTAGGGGTCAGAGCAACGGGGTTTTGTCTGAAGGCAATCAGGATGTTTTGTGCGGGGTTTAGGAATTTGGGGTTCAAGTTTTGGGGGTTTAGTGGTTTAAGGGTTTAGGGTTTAGGGCGGGGTTGCAAACCCTATACCCTGAACCCTAAACCTGTGCCACTGGTCGTTTATACCGGCCCTTAGTGGACATGCTGCATTACAGTGCAGATCCTTTCGTTAACCATCCCCTCAAAGGGGAAAAGGAGGACCCTTAATGGGGACCCCTACCCTATAATGGGCTATCTAATGCATATATAATAATAACTATATTAAGGGTATATACCTAGGGGTCCTTGTTAGGGGTCCCTCCTTCTACCCTTGGATTAACCATCCCCCTGAACCCTAAACCCGCTTAGAGTATGGATTATAACTCTATCGACCAGGGATGTAGGTTGAGGGTTTAGGGTTTAGGGTTTAGGTTGCCATTACGAGCTCAGATAAACTACCCTCAGAATAACAGAGTAGCAGTCAGTCTTCAGTGCAAGGTCCAGTGTAGGTAAGCTGTATTACGGCTAATAGTAAGGACGTTAGTCAAAAGAAGTTGCTTAGAGGCTCACAGGTGCTAAATTTCACAGTTTAGGCTTTATGTTTCCAAGCTTGGATGTGTCGGGTTCCCTTGAAGCATTTACTTCCAGAGCTTAAACTCCAACCTCTAGACTCTAGAAAGCTACGGGCATATCAACTCAAACACCCAAAGGCTGAAAAGCTCCCATCATTTTCCGGAAATAACACGTTCTAAACACGCGATGAGAAGGAGACCTAGAACCTAAACCCTACCCACAAGACCCATAGTAGTTCCTTTTTGGGATAACGACTATGGAGCCTATACTAGAACCCAACTATAGATCCCTTATAGGGCCCTTTAAGGAACCCTGTAAAGGGAACCCTAACCCCTCTTTGGCCGAAATCATAACCCTAAAGCCTAAAACCCTAAACCCCAAACCCGAAAACCCTAAAGCCTAAAACCCTAAACCCTAAAACCCCAACAACCCTAAAACCCCTAAACACTAAAACCCTGCTGATCTTGATTGAAGTACCGCTTCACGAATTTGTGCTGACGGGGGGACAAGGATTTATGCAGTTCGGGCGGCTGAACCAACAATGAAACTACAACCCCTCACGCGGCTTCTTTTAAGCAAGCAAGGACATGGCAAAGTGCTCTGATGCTTATCTAACTTGGCCCGTTTGGCTCTCGTACAATCGCAAGTGCATGCATCCTCATTCCTAGTCCGCTAAGCTTGAAGTGCTTTAGCCAGAAAACAAAGCGAACTGCACACATCAAGGGGAAACGCATATTCTGCAAACCCAAAGCCCTAAACACTCCCTATTGAAACACAAAACTAGGATACCCAGTAACCTAGGATTAAAAACGGCTCCCTTTTTGGTATTGGGTAACTTTATAAGGAACCTCGGACTACAAGATGGAAAAAGGGTACAACTGGGCATCCTAGGATCCAAGGGTAAAAGGAGGGACCCTTAATAAGGACCCCTAGCGCCGTGGGCTCGGCGTCAACTGCGGCTGCAGAAGGCTGAGAGGGCTGTGCTGTGTCGGCTTCTTCCAGGTCTTCTGTGTCCTGAGGTGGGACGTAGTCAAAACAGTCTGGGATAGGGCCTGTGTAACATCCGTCCTGGGCGTGGTAATAGGCTTCCTGGTTCTGGTAGATAAGGAGGCTGCGCGGGGACAGGCCATAAGGATTATCCGAAGGCCGAGCATCGGCTGGCACGGCCGTGTCCACGGCTGCTTGCGCTGACACAGAGTGGGCTTCCCGGAGGCGTTCCAACTCAACTGCAGGCAGAGTCTTGAGCCAGTCTGCCAGAGGGTCTCGATCTGACGCCATGGCTGCGGCTGAGACTGACCCTCCTATTATCTACCCATTATATAGCTCATTATAGGGTAGGGGTCCCCATTAAGGGTCCCTCCTTCTCCCCTAAACCCTTTTAATATAGATCCCTTTAAAGGAACCCTAAGAGCCCTAAACTAAGGCTCCCTCCTTTTCCCTTTTTGATAGTAAAACTCCACCCTAAACCCTAAACCCTGAACCCTAAAACCCTAAGCCCTAAACACACCCTATTGAAACAAACTAACTCCACAACTCGAAGCCCCTGGGCCCCTCGCCCTGGCTGCTCAGGCGCGCAGCCACCTCGGCATGCTCTGGGGCTGCTTGCTCAAAGGCTCCATGGCTACCTTTATAGTAGATTACTAGGGTTCCTTTAAGGGTTCCTTTAAGGGGTTCTATAAGGGTTCTATAGGGTTTAAGATATAAGGGTCCATGGTACCTTTATAGTAGATACTTAAGCCTTAAAGGGGTCCCTATATAGGTACTTTAAGGCCTAGGTGTATACTATGTGGGTACATGGAGCCATAGGGTTGCTTGCTTTACCCGAAGGCTCAAATTAGCGCAAAAGCCTTATATAGTATAAAAGCCTTATATAGTATTATATAGTATGGTCTTTGGGCCCAAAAGCCTTAAAACATAAGTCCTTAGAGCCTGAGGGTTTGAGTTTGCTTTCTAGTAGAAGCCCAAATTCAACAGTTGGAAACCCAGTGACTCAACCCCTGTATAAGAGTAATGTGTAGGGAGTCTCGGCGCTATATGGCCTCAATCCGATTTCCAACTTTATGGGGTTGATTATGGAGTTTGGGTTTGGGTTTTTCAGGTTCTACTGGGTTTAGGGCTTATAAAAGGTCTTACGGTGTCGACCTTAGTTGTTGAGCTGTTTGTTTCAAGTTGCGCTCTGCGAATTCAAGATCAAGATTTGGGATTGCAAAGATTTCAAAGTCGGCAGGGGCTTGGGACGGGTTGGGGTATACGTGTTGGAGCGTGCTTGGCTTTCTGGCCCATTGTGCAGCCGAGCCGAATGTGAACACATCTGGATACACACACACATTATATATATATATATATATATATGTATATATATATATATATATATATATATATATATATCCATGTACACACACACACACACACCACTACCCGGCATATTCCGTAACTCAAGCTCCCGGGGAAACTGTGTCGTAGGGTTACGGGCATGTATGTTTAAGTTTAAGGGTGAGTGGCTTCGGGTCTGAGGTTTCGGGGCTAGAGATTGACGGATTCAGGCTTTAGGGTTTATGGCTTATAGCTTCGAAATTACCAGGGCTGCGCATCACACTTGCACACCTTTCCCGAAATCTGGAACCTAGGCCCGTGCCCTGTGGAAGATGAAAGATGAACTCACCGGTCGAGGGTTCAGGGCTTTAGGCTCCCATCATACTTCCCCTCATAGCCGCTTACAAGGAGTACCATCGAAACTACTATCAGTGAATCCTGAGCCCATGTATAAACCCAAAGTGCGGCGGCACAAGAAGCAGCTGCCAAATTCAACATGCAAAGCCATGCGAACTCATTTTGGCGCGGTGCTCTCTGCGGAAAACTCACATCTGGAGCTACATACTGGCAGTCCCAAAACAGCTTGCTTTCTTTTGCTCTAAGGACGACCAAATCCTCCTTGAAGGATCATGGGACTTAGTAACTACGGTTATAACTAAGGTAACCATAATTACTCATAATTACTCATATCCCCAATTAATGTACTTATAACCGTCCTTACTCAGTCCCATGATCCTCCAAGTCGAGTCATTGCAACTTGCCAATCTCGTGGATGGGCCGCAAAATCTGCGTGTGAAAGTTGAGGGCCAACTCCGCAATGCTCCCGATGGCCTCATGCGAAGCAAACCCAAAGGCCTCATGGTACCTTTAAAGTAGATCAAGCCTTAAAGGTTAAGGCATAGGTATATACTATATGGGTACATGGAGCCTTAGGGAAAAGGAAGCAAACCCTAGCTACGCCCAAAGGAAAGACAGATCAACAAATTCTTAGGCCCTAAGCCCTGAGTAGCTGCAGCTTGCCAGAGAGAAACCAGAGGCTGAAACTGTAAAGCTCGAGAATGGGCTTGTCCCTCAGCCTCATGTAGTGAACAACTAGCATCAAAGTTTTCGTGCACACTGTACCATAACTATAATCAGGAGCCAGAAGGAATACCGTATAAGGCTCCCTTCAAGGGCTTCTTCAAGTGCTCCTTTAAGGGATACTATAGGGTTCTATACTTGGGCTCCCAATAAGGGTACCCTTCAAAGGCTTCTTCATAGAGGAATACCATCATAAAAGGCCACCATCTATCATCCCGGTCCCCAAGGCCCAAAAACCCTTTAACCCAGGAACATCCACGTTGCAAGATTTTGAGGGTTTTTGTTTCAGGCTTCGAGGTTTATAGGGTTTAGGCTTCAACATTTATGTAGGGTCTAGGTCTATGATTCAAGGTTTAGGATTTGCTTCTTGGCCAGGAGGGGTTTGGTCTAGAGCTGGCTTTCTATTCAACAATAAACTTGCCTCATGTAAACACTGTCAAACATCCACACCCAAAAAAACGAAACCCTCAACCACGTCACCCGTAATGATACTTGAGGCCCTAAACCCAGACCCTTCACAAATGTTCATATCACCATGGACGAACCTCAGACAGCTCATGTTTAGCTGATGTTTCTTCCGATGACTTCAACGATGTTCGACAGATATTCACTGCTTCACCGTACCGGCGCATTATGTATGCTTTTCCAGTCTTCAGTTGCCGGGAGGATCCCCAACAAGAAAAAACTACTACAGGGCATTGCTGGCAGACCTAGATGGCTTTTCATGAGCATAATAAAAACCGTTTACGATGCACACGAATAGCTATCACACTATCGATGACACCAACCTCAACAAAAACACTTACGACACCACTGAGGATAACCCCCCCCGCCGATGCGAAGAACTTTCGCCCTGGCGCAGTATGCCTTAGGTTTGGGGCCTTTTACCGGAATAGCAAACCTATGACCAACACTGTCTGAAGGTTTGGGAGCTTAGGGTTGATAGCAGCCAGCAGAGCAACTTAGAAGATATGCTGATCCACTTGAAGCAGAAGCAGACATGAGGGTAGCACTTCTTGGCAAACAGAAGACTTGAGAAAGGAGGACATGCATGGCACATAACGGCATACCGTGTATGGTAAGAAAAATAGCGGGTGTGATATGTTGCACCATGGCATATATATATATATATATATGTACTTATATATATATATATATATATGTATATATATATGTGTGTACATATGTATATAGACTTACTTCTTTATAATGTATACATAAGCTTATGTGTTCATGTGCTTAAGAACGACTTTACTGATTCCTTTATGTGTTCATTTAGCTACCGATATAAATAAACAAATACACAAATGTATATATATATATATATATATATACATATACGGTCACCCCCACATGACAGACCATCCCCTTCAAAACATCGCTCCAACCGGCGTGTTCGTGCTTTTTCCGGGGTCTCGAGGTGGAGCCCTCCGAATGTATCTGTGGAACCACCAGAAAACCGAGACCAAAAGCCAAAACAACAAAGTTTCACGTGTCTGTGGAACCACCAAAAAGACGGAGACCAGGAAACCAACAAACCAAAGTTTCACGGAGAATGCAGGGACAGTTCTGATTTCTTGGATCTTTGGATATTTGGTTTTGTGGTTTAGCTATGAAAAAACCAAAAATCTAAAACCAAATATCCGAAAATACAAAAACAAAACTGTCACTGCATTCTCCCTGAAACTTTGGATTTTTGCTTTTTTGGTTTTGGGTGCACCCTTGTGTTAGTCACAACCTCTGCCCGTGCCCATAGACTGTTTGGAAAGTCCTCCAGAACAACCCCTCCCTACTAGAATCAGGACTACTACAGACAGTAATGGTGGAAAGAGCAGAGCTGAGACTAAGATTAGGACTAGGAGGAGCGTTGCATGCATGTGTAGAAATTTTCGAAAATTGCCAACCATATAGAAGAGCATTTTGGAATTGAGTTTGGGAGAAGTGATTGTCGCCTATCCGTTGACAGATCCTGCCTGGGGACAGACCCTTCACCACGACGGTCTGTCATGGGGGGGCGAACATATGTATATATATATATAAGTAAATAAATAAATGTACACACATGTGTTATATATATATATATGGTCACGCCCCCCCCCCCCCCATGATCCATACCATGTTTTTTTCTACCTCCTGCTGCTCATGCTTCGATTTCTACATGACTTCACCTACATACAAAATCATCGGTATTTGCGGTTTTTTCTGCACCTAGCATCTACTGAACTCTACATGTTGTAATTTGTTCTCACATGTTATATCCCCACGAAACCCGAAACGGATTCTGATTTCACTTTCGGGCTCCGCTCTTCCATCCAAAACCTGGCACTCCATGTTTCAGGAGGCATCACCGGTGGTTGTGCAAAAACTTGAACATGTTGCCTGTCACTGTCGGCATGTTTTGGTGCCGATGCCAATACTCAAACTAGCACCTTCGAATCTTCCTGGTCATTGCCTGATTGCCTGGAAAGCGTGACACATACTTCAAGTGTGTTCATAATATTATAGTACTGACGCTAATACTACTACTACTACTACTACTACTACTACTACTACTACTACTACTACTACTACTACTACTACTACTACTACTACTACTACTACTAATTATCACAATATTTATACTAATATCAATATTTGCAACAGTATTGATACTCCTACGAGTACGAATACAGTGGTGTTAACAATAATGCTATCACCAACACTGATACGGATATTGATAATCTGTTGAATATTCATGAATGCCAGTACTATTACCAGCATGAACACTTGTATTATGGCTAATACGACTATGAATAGTCCTAATTCGAATATCAACATTAATACTCCTACGAATACCAATAGTATCTTCGTATTGATATGAATACTAATCTCTTTACTAATCGACA